TTCCTTGTAAAATGGGCGGTCATAAAAATACCTCCAGAGCTGTTTCCCAAACTTTGGTGACTTGATTACCACTTTAGGACTGATCTTTATCTTCTCCACATTCCACCTGTGTTATTATCTACACATTGTTTTCACTGAAATCAACTAGCCTTTTTAACTTAGTCTGGACCTGTGCGTTATTATCTTTAAAACCAAAGTCCTGTTTTCTTTTACTACACATAAAAGAAACACATGACTGTTAAAATAGCAGTACTTACATTCATGCAAGCCATTCCTGATGCCCCTAGGGTGGTCTGGGTGCCACTCTTTGGGGAAAACGGTGCAAGCGCCAGAGCAGAAGCCCCTCACTAACTGCAGCCCCCGCCTGGAGAGGGCGTCAGATTATTACAGTTGTTCCTCTTCTCCCCTTTCAGGGCACAAGCCCAGACCTGGAGGGCAGCGTCCAGGCTTGGCAGAAACGGCGCTCTTCGGATGATGCAGGTGAGCACGGTCACCCTCCCTTCCTTCTTTTGACCCCTCTCTCAGGGGCCCCTCCTAATTTGCTTTCCCGGTCCCCTGTTCCATCCCCCCTCCCCCGCCTCCACTCCAGGGCCTGGAGCCTGGAAGCCGCCACCACCACCTCAAAGCACCAAGCCGAGCTTCAGCGCCATGCGCCGTGCAGAGGCCACCTGGCACATAGGTACAGACACCTCTCTCAGGCAGCAGCGCTGAGGCCCAGGCTGTGCCCACAGACACAGACGCCACGGCCCTGCATCGGGTAGTCCGAGGTGGGGCTGTGAAAAGTCAACATGGGAAATGTTTAAGGATATTTACAAAGCGATAGCCAAGAGACAGCCCAACCCAAAGAAAGGCCCGACAGAACAGACGTGGCTTTGCCAGGACTGGCAGACAAGAGCACACACTGGGAGATTCCAGATAGTTTTCTAAGCAGGGCCACCTGTGGTCCCTGTCAGCAGAGTAGCGCCCTCTACAGACAAGTCCTCTCTCTGACCCTCAGCTGGGAAGAGTGGGCAAGTACTCGTCATGCCAGACCCACCTCAAACATTCCAGTCTCCTCCAAAAACAGCTGCCAAGCCACCCTCAGCTCATGCACCAGGTGCCACAGGGAAGGGGCCAGAGCCCGTCCTGCCCTGGAGGTCAGAAACCCTGGTGTCAGGCCCAGCCCAGCCACCACCAGCAATAACCTTATACAAGTTATTGCCCTTCTGGCTTTGAAACTCTGAAGGAATAAAAAGGAGGGTTCATGCTATGACATTCGCTTCTGCTGGGTTTAGAGCACTTTGCACCCACGGAGCCTCTGAAGGAAAACTGGTCAGCTCAGCGTCAACCTAAGGTCCCACGGGCCTGGCGTCTGACCCTTCAACAGCACTGACAGGGACACATCTCACCGTAGATATAGACGCTCCACCACCCTCCTCCCCTCCACCAGACGCCAGGGCACCAGGCACGTGCAGAGCCAGGCTGGCCCCTGACTTGGGAATGCCTGTGCTCCTGCCCATCTTCCAAGGCCCAGCCAGTACAGGGGGCATCTTTGCTGGTCCCCCCAGCCCACAAAGTGGTTAAATAGGCAAAGTGGGGCTCCATCCTTCACTTAGACCACGGGAGTTGGATGCTCCACTGCGCACACGCCCACCCCAGCACCCTCAGGTTTCTCTTACCCACACCCACAGACACGCACACAGACAACACCTTCCAGGTGGGTTACCCTCAGGCTCAGTTTGCATAAAGCCACAGAGACAGGAGGTGGGGGTGCCAGGGCGCCCCTCCTTGAGGCTCTCGCCATCTAAGTCAGACAGGAGACAAAGTCCTGGGAGAGCCAGGCTGCAGCCTTGGCAGGGCCCCGGGCACGGCAGCCCTGGCTGAGCAGCCCCGCCTGTGGGCCAGCCGCCCCCGGCTCTGGCTCTATCCCAGCAGGAAAGAGCTAGGGCCCTGCTCTTCACGAGGGGCAGCCTGAGCCCACTCCAGAGGTGACGGGCTCAGGACTGTCCTGGGGGCCCAGGCCTAAGGAAATGTGAGAGCAGAGGGGACATTAGCAGAGGCATAGGAGCAAATGGGGAAGCCCAGGCCTCTGGGCAACATAGGGGCAGGGGAGGGAGGGCTATGCAAGAATGCCTGTTCCTGCAGTTTCTTTTCTCTCCTCATCCCCTAGCTGAGGAGAGTGCCCCCAACCACAGCTGCCAGAGCCCCAGCCCCTCCTCCCAGGATGGGGAGGAGGAGAGGGAGGGGGCCCTGTTCCCGGAGAGGACCGTTCCCGCTAGGAATGCCAAGGTGAGGGCTGGCAAGGCGAGTGGGGAAGGCAGTTTGATAAGGCAAAGGACTAACTAATGATCCAGCATCTTCCTTCTTCTGTCAGCTGCAGGACCCCCCGTTAGCTCCACGGCCCCCCAAGCCAGTGGCTGTGCCCAGGGGCCGCCGTCCCCCCCAGGAGCCAGGGGGCAGGGAAGAGGCTGAGGCTGGGGGTGCAGCCCCAGGAATGAACAAACCCCGGCTGAGGCTGGGCTCACAGCAGGACCAAGAGGAGTCCGAGGTCCAAGGTCTGCCGCCTGGCAGGAGGGGGCCTCGGGATGCCTCTGGGACCCTGCTGCCCACACCGGTCCCCATCCCAAGCACCCAGCTGGGAGCCCCACTCCTATGCTAGACCTGCCTTGGCTATCATTTCAGGGCTCTTAGATCCAGGCCGCCGGACTGCCCCCCTGAAGCCCAAGAGGACACGGCGGGCACAGTCCTGTGACAAGCTGGAGCCTGATAGAAGACGGCCCCCTGACTCCACAGGTGCCGGTGGGTGGGCCAGAGGGCAGCTCCCCTTCCACCCTCCTGTCCAACATGGCGCACCCAGTACGGGTGGCTGGCTCTCCCTGCCCAGGAAACAGGCCCCCCTGGATTTGTCCCCAGCAGGAACCAGTGAGCCAGGAACAGACTGACAGCCGCTGCTGCACCCTCCCCAGCCCTCCTCTCGACATGTGCCTCACAAGGACTGACCCCCTACCCCCCTCCCCCCGCACCTCCAGGCCCCTCTGCCAGCCCATCCCACAGGGGCTGGATGGCAAGATGAGGTGTGGGGGCGAGAGGGGGACAGGGAGGGAGGGAGCAACCTGGAAAGAGGGAGGCTCTGAATGCCTGCTCCCTCAGCAGAGAGTCGGGGTGGGGGGCATCTCCCTCCCTGGAGGGCAGATGTATCCCTCTACCCCCAGGGGCTCTCTCCCCACTTGTATAGAATAAAATGAAAAATCACTGCCTGCCTTGCGTCTTTGCTGCCTTCCCCATTCACTGCCCCACACCCCACCATCTGTTCCCCTTCAGTGCTTGTTCTCAGTGGGGAAGAGGGAGGCATACCTCACAGGGTTGGGGCTGGAGCTCTGAGCAGAGAGGAGAGAATGGAGAAGTGATGGGCAGGTCAGAGGGGACCCCAGTAAGTGTCATGTGTAGGATCTGGGCTGAGCTGGCTGGAGAAGAGACCAAAATGATAGAAACCAGCACCAGTGTGTGTCCAGCTTTGGGGCGTGTGGTGGGATTGGAAGACCCTAGTGTACCAGGAGGAGACTTGGGAGCAGGGTGCTGTGCGTGTGTGTGCATGTGCGTGTGCGTGTGCATGTGTGTGCCTGCGTGTGTGTGTGTTTACACATAGGCAGGCTCACAATGGTGGAATTAGGTGGTGTGCCATCCTACAGGCACCATCAATAGTCAGAAATCTCCGCAGTAAAGCAGCCTGAAGGTGAACAGAGCATCTATGGTGTGAGAAGATTGATGATTACATTAATTTTTCCCATTGGTGTGCTGCCAAATACTAGCGTAGCATTCCAGACTCCAGCTCAAGAGCCTCTTCCTCTGTGAAGCCCTTCCTGATGCCCTCCCCCGACCCATCCCAGGGAACCCTCCCTCTTTGCGGCCCACTGCATCCTGACCAGATCCACACCTTTGCACCTGACACACTTAATTGCGCTTGTCTATTGGCTTATCATCTCTGTCTGTGAGGTTGTCTGTTCTATATACACACACCTCCCCAGGGCCGGGAGCTGTGTCCTAATCATCTGTATAGCCCCAGCCCCTGGTACAGTGCCTGGTACCCAGGAGCTGTCAGTAAGTGACTGCCCGCTTAGGGGCTGAAGGTGAAGGTGTTCTGGGGAACCTTATTGCCTACTCATCCCAGATCACCATCACATGGACCCAGATGTCTTCACGTGGGGCAGGCAGCCCTCAGGCAATTGCTCACTTCCCCTGGTCTCACTAGGGAATGACTAATCTTTCCTCAGGATCTGTGCATGGTTTGGCCCCTCCCACAAGGAATCTCGGGTTGAGGGACAGTGAATTGTGGGCACTGGGGAGATGCCTCTGGAATCAGTCCTTCAGCACATCTCACTGGGGGTTGGTTGTGTGACCAGAATGTGAGACTGCATGCCCTTAAGCAATTGTGTCCATGACCTTGTGTCTCCCTGTTAAAGGGAGACTGGTGGCTGGGACACTGAATCTCATTCTCAGAGCTATGAGGTTCCGGGTGGTTTTTAAGGAGCACGTGAGATCTCCATTCTGCTGTATTTGAGCTGGCATGAGTGAGTGTGCGTGAGTGACAAGTGTAGCCGGTGTTCTTTTATATGCGCAAATATCCTTAACAAGCATGATGTGGAGAGTGTCATGAGACTGGGTGTGTTTCCCTATGTGTATCTGTAGGGCTATAACTGTCGTGGTGTCACAGAGAGTTTACGTGCTGGCATCTGTGCGTGTCAAGATATGTGTGAGCCTGTGGGTTGTGGGTGCGTGTCTCCATCACTTCCCGGTGTGAATGTGTGTGCATCTCTGTGATGCTGGGTGTGGGTGTGGTGTGAAGGAGAAGATGTGTGTCATTGTGTCCATGGAGGTCCTGCCTCTGAGCCACCTCCAGCCCACCCTCCTCCCCGAGATCTGTGGCTCCCTCCCAGGCAGTGTCCCTGCCCCTCCTCTCTTCTCCCTCCCAACTGGAGGGAGGGTGAGGGGGGAGCTGGTGCTGCCACCTCCCCTCCCCATCCCTGCCCCATAAATAGCAGCAGAGCCAGAGCCGGAGCTGGCGCCAGCGGCTGGAGAAGAAAAGGAGTCAAGGCTGGGGCCAGAGCCGGAGAGAGGAACCCCCCAACTAGAGCCCAGGTGAGCCTCCCCTTCCTTCCTAGCCTAGCCCAGCCCTGCCCAGCCCAGCCTGACCCAGTCTCTGTAATAGCATCTCCCCCAGCCCCCAGAGAAGTCTCCGGTTCTGCCGGATTCCCTCACTATCACATGCCCTTGCCCTTCTCAGGGGACCTACAAGAACCGGAGACTGGTGGCTAGAAGGCAGAGACCCCTGACCCTCCCTCACAAATCCAGAAAGCACAGGCTGTGGGGAGGGGGTACCCAGCCAGAGAAGGGTCCCCGTTCTGAGGGAGGTGCCTACAGGAATTGTCACACCCTCCTGGAGACAGACACAGGACTAGGGGACAGACACACAAGGTGGGAGCATTCAGACACACCAAGGCACACTCGCTGGCAGAACCACAACATGAGATCAGACAGCCTCACCCTGAGACGTGGACAGATACAGATAGATGAACTGACCGGCCATGAACTTGGGCCAGCGTACCCCTGCCTGCTGCTGCCCGAGGCTTGGTACCACTGCTGGGGGAAGGTGGCGTGCGTGCATCCCACGGGCAGCATGGAGGGGGCCGCAGCTCCCCAAAAATCTCGTCGCTTAGAGACACTGCCAGCGCTGCCAAGAAGTGTGAGAACAGGGGAGGTGGGGAGGAAAGCGAGAGTTGTCATAGTGGGAGCCCCTGCCAGGAGCCTGGAGGAGCTCTCAGCAGGCACAGGGCTCTTCCTCCAGCTCCCCGAGCCCACCACCCTCCCTTCCCGTCAGCCAACTGCAGTGAGTTGGGGGAGATGAATAGGGACAGCCCAGGGCACCTTTCACCCTGCCCCCCTCCTGCCCACTGCAGCCCCATTCCTGAGGCCCATCCTCTTCAGACTTCCAGGGGCCCATCCACCCCTTTCCCCACCCCCCCTTGCCCCAGTTTATCTCCCTGGGGCCAAGACTGAGTGCTGTGCTGGCTCAAACATAGGTTGGGAAACAGCAGAAGGTGCTGAGGCAGCAAAAAGTGTGGATCAATTGATGGCCTAGGAGCCAAGACTGCCAGGAACACCCCCAACCCTCTAGCCCTGTCCAGCCCCTTCCATACCTAAGCCAGAAGGGGTGACAGAAGCACAGACTGTGCAGGTGTGGGAGGCTCAGGTACTCTGCCCTCCTCTGCTCAGAGCTCCAAGGGAAGCCAAACCCAGAGAGGGCAGGGGAAACAGGAGGTCCAGGAGGTGCAGGGGGTGCAGGAGGTCCTGGGCCTCAGGAAAGAAACAGGGCAAGGGAGGGTGGGGCCCAGGCTTCCAGAAAGTAGACCCCCTCCCATGGCAGGTGTTCCCTTTCCAGTATCCAGACCATCTGCTCTGTCCCCACAGTGACATGTCGGGCCCTGAGATGGGATGGGTGCCTGAGCCCCCAGCCATGACACTGGGGGCCTCGCGGGTGGAGCTGCGGGTATCCTGCCATGGCCTCTTGGACCGAGACACACTCAGCAAACCCCACCCCTGCGTGCTGCTCAAGCTCTACTCTGATGAGCAGTGGGTGGAGGTGAGAGCAACTCAGGCCTGGAAGGAGGGAGGCTGGGTGGAGGCAACAAAGGCCTCAGGTGGGAAAGTGAGGAACCTGAGGGGCCTCCTCCAGGCTGTGTGGGGAACCTTGGCGAAGGGTGTGCCATCCTTACAAGCACAAATCATTTCTAGTTTCTAAAGCCCAGAGTTACAGAGGGGCCTGAGATGGCCCCACGGGCAGTGGCACTGCTCCCAAAGGCCTTATGAGAGCCCCAGAGGGCTGAAGGTCTAGTGAGCTGGCAGCATCCTGAGCTGGGGTTGGGGAGGAGGGAGGGAGGGCGGTCAACCTAGGGAGGGAAGAGCTAGTCGCTGAGGGTGTGCCAGCCCAAGGAAAGCCGGCATGGTGGGTGGTCCAGGGGAAAAGTACCTGGGTTCCCAGAGGGCCCTCACCCTCCTGCCGCAGGTGGAGCGCACAGAGGTGCTGCGCTCCTGCTCCAGCCCCGTCTTCTCCCGGGTGCTGGCCCTTGAGTACTTTTTTGAAGAAAAGCAGCCCCTGCAGTTCCATGTGTTTGATGCCGAGGACGGAGCCACCAGCCCCAGCAGTGACACCTTCCTTGGCTCTACAGAGTGCACCTTGGGCCAGGTCTGCATTCCCACTCCACCCCCATCAGCTTCTGCTTCCTCTCTGAAATCCAAATTAACAGAGAGCATGATCTCTAGGGCTAGTTCATTCCTGGCTTGGACCTCCATCTCTGCCATTCACTGGCTGTGCAGCCTTGGGCAAGATACTTAACCTCTCTGAGTCTTAGTTTCCTCATCTAAACAATGGGGGTCACAGTCCAACCCTAGCCCAAAGTATTACCCCTGTCCCTTATACCCTGGCCAAGGCAGGTGGGGCCTCACAGCCGGTCTCCCTCCACCTCCACCTCCAGATTGTGTCACAAACCAAGGTCACTAAGCCATTGCTGCTGAAGAACGGGAAGACTGCGGGCAAGTCCACCATCACGGTAGGCAAGGTCACCTCTACTCACCCTTGGACTGGGCATTCAATGCCCCTGCACCAACAACCATGGTGACATCATGCCCAGGACTGGCCCCCACTTAAATTAAAGGGCATAGGGTGGACCTTGTGGTAGGGGGTTGGGGGGAGTCCTGCCACTTGTGTTCCCCTTGCAGATTGTCGCTGAGGAGGTGTCTGGCACCAACGACTATGTGCAGCTCACCTTCAGAGCCCACAAGCTGGACAACAAGGTTAAAATCCCAGAGTCCAGGCCCCCAAGTCAAGACAAATCCCAAAATCCCGGCACTGCTCCCTTCTCTGTGTTAGCCGCTTCCCCCTGCACACCTCACCAGGCTTATGGGTCTGTTCCCCTATGTCCCCAGGATCTGTTCAGCAAATCTGACCCTTTCATAGAGATCTATAAGACCAACGAGGACCAGAGTGACCAGCTGGTCTGGAGGACCGAGGTTGGTGCCTGGGGCTATGGGGAAGGAGGGAGGAAGACCAGGGTAGGGAAACCTAGATAGGAGGTGACCGGCTCTCTGGTGCCTCTCCAAGGTGGTGAAGAACAACCTGAACCCCACCTGGGAGCCATTCCGCCTGTCCCTGCACTCCCTATGCAGCTGTGACATCCACCGGCCTCTCAAGGTGAAGCCCCCTTCAAGCAAGGGCAGCTACTGAAGCATCCAGCCTCTGCCTGAGACCTTCCCCCTGAGTGTAGCAAGCTCCCTTCCTCTCCCCCACTGTGCCGTAAAGAACCTGTCACAGCTCAGTGTTCCTACATGTGTGCCTACATGTGTGCCTACATGTGTGCCTTTTATCAGAAGCCAAAGTCCCTGCCAGACTGAGCCAAAGAATGACGTTCTCGGCAAATGGCCTCTCTGGGCAGGTTGAGTTCGTCTTTTTGGATCTAGAGACTGTTAGACCCCTACCTCCCTGAGTCCCTCCCCCTGACCCCAGGAACCACCGCAAAGCGTCCTGACCCTGACCCCCCTGCCTTCTCAGTTCCTGGTGTATGACTATGACTCAAGTGGGAAACATGACTTCATTGGAGAGTTCACCAGCACCTTCCAGGAGATGCAGGAAGGAACCGCAAATCCTGGACAAGAGGTGTCACAAAGACCCCTCCCCTAGGATTCCCCCTAAGACCTCTGGGAAAATTCTGAGGGCGATGCTGAAGAGGCCACCATGCATCGTCAGCATCACCCTAAGGACTGAGCCGTGGAGTCCCTGCTCTGGGAGGCTTTGCTGGAAGGGGGATGAGGGGTCACCTGATGGAATTGTGACCTGGGCTTTTGGGGGATGTGGGGTCTAGATGCAGTGGGACTGCATCAACCCCAAATATCGGGACAAGAAGAAGAACTACAAGAGCTCGGGGACCGTAGTTCTGGCCCAGTGCACGGTAAATCCCAGCACCAGCCTCCAGTCCTGCCCCAGCCCTGAGCCCCACTGCAACCTCACATTCAACTCTTCCTTTGCCTCTGGGAACTGAAAACCCTTGCCCTATACCACTCCCAACTTCAATCTCAAAAGCTCTGGTTCCTCCACTTCCCTCACAGAAGCCCTACCTAGTCCCTCCCCAAAGGACTATCCCTCCACCTTATCTCCCCTACTTCTACTAGGTGGAAAAGGTACACACGTTTCTGGATTACATCATGGGCGGCTGCCAGATCAGCTTCACGGTAAATGCCCAGGGGATGGGGACACAGACCAGAGGGAAGGGCTAAGCCTATAGTGAACAGAAAGAACCCAGAATGCCCTCTGCCCTACTTAGGCCTCTCATGAGCCTGGCATTGTCATTTGTACCCCTCACCCCGCTCTATGATGATGCTACCTGTGGGCTCACCCAGATTCACCTTAGTCCTCCCTACAGACACTAGCACTGGCCTAGCCTCTCTGTTGGCTCTCAAGGATGTAGCAAGTCCGTTTCCCCACCTCCACCAGGTGGCCATTGACTTCACAGCCTCCAATGGGGACCCGAGGAGCAGCCAGTCCCTACACTGCCTCAGCCCTCGCCAGCCCAATCACTACTTGCAGGCCCTGCGTGCAGTGGGAGGCATCTGTCAAGACTATGACAGGTAGAAAGAGGTGGGGGGCAGGGCCGGAGACAGTCAGGGAGGCTTTGCCCAGTGGGCCCTTACAATCTTTTCTTCTCCCCAGTGATAAGCGGTTCCCAGCGTTTGGCTTTGGGGCTCGAATCCCTCCCAACTTTGAGGTAGGCTGGGTGCCAAGAGAAGGGAGGAGCAGGTGGGAGAGTGAGACAAGAAGGAATGATCCCCTTACTGTTCTCATAGGTGTCCCATGACTTTGCTATCAACTTTGACCCGGAAAATCCCGAATGTGAAGGTAAGAGGGCATGCTCCCACCAGCCCCCCAATACAGCTTGCTGCACACTCCTGTACACCCCATGACAAAGCACAGACTGCATTCCCATGGGCCCAGCTCCCTGACCCTTTACCCATTCAGTGCCTGGGTCCATTTGGTAAGACTTCCAGACCCTGGCCCAGCATCTACCCACCCAATTGCCCCAGTGCCTGGACTATCCAACTCTCCTTCTTACTGAGAAATGGAGGGGGGAGGACACTTCCTTGCTTTAACGGGTATCAGGAAGGGCTCCCCGCTAATCTCTGAAAGCCTCACCTCTGCCCACAGAGATCTCGGGGGTCATCACCTCCTACCGCCGTTGCCTGCCCCAGATCCAGCTCTATGGCCCCACCAATGTGGCCCCCATCATCAACCGTGTGGCTGAGCCAGCCCAGCGGGAGCAGAGCACCGGCCAAGCCACGGTGAGGAGAGGAAGCGGCAACCAGACTCTGCCCGGATGCCCTTGGGGGGGTGGCAGGGGGCAGGGACTGAGCTTGGGGCATGTGCCAGTACCCTTGTATACAGAGGCTACCTTCCTCCCCTCCACCACAGAAGTACTCGGTGCTTCTGGTGCTCACAGACGGTGTGGTAAGCGACATGGCTGAGACCCGCACCGCCATCGTGCGCGCTTCCCGCCTGCCCATGTCCATCATCATCGTGGGCGTGGGCAATGCTGACTTCTCTGATATGCGGCTGCTGGATGGTGACGAGGGTCCCTTGCGCTGCCCTCGAGGGGTGCCCGCGGCCCGCGACATCGTCCAGTTCGTTCCCTTCCGGGACTTTAAGGATGTGAGTGTCCGATGCTCCCTCCCAGCAGGACTCCACAGCTCCTCACACACCCAAATCTGACCTGGTTCTCCCACCCGGTGGATGTCCTGAGAAGGATGCTAGAGCCCAGCTGGCCACTCCGAAGCCCTGCCCATACCCGCCCCTGCCCCTTATGCTTGGGTTCCTAACAACACTGCCATGATCCCTACCCGTAGGCCTCACCTTCTGCGCTGGCTAAGTGTGTCCTGGCTGAGGTGCCTCGGCAGGTGGTGGAGTACTACGCCAGCCAGGGCATCAGTCCGGGGGCGCCCAGGCCCTGCACGCCTGCCACGACTCCCAGCCCTAGCCCGTGACTGCCTCCCACTGGATGGAAACACCCTCAGCCTCTCAGTGAGTCCTGGGGGCCCAAAGGAGTGGACACTAACTAGGGGGTGCAAAGTGGGGCTTGGTGGAGCCCATCTCGGCCAGGTATGGTACAGAGAAGGGTGCTTATGGCTATCCCACTCTCTCTCAGGTGCCTGTCCTGACCCTTGTGACTCGAGTGACCAGTGCCTCTCCCTCTTGGATCAGCTGTGCCCCCTGGGTCCTGGAAGTGAGTGGAGAGCCCTGCCCCATCTCTCC